TAAACACATACACACATGGGGGATTAGTATTTGGGGCATAAAATAGTCTGGACCTAGCAAATTGAAGCTTCAAAGTCTAAAAGTGAAGTAACACATGGTATCAGCCAATATTTACCAAGCAATATATATATTAAGCACACAAGTACAAAAAACGCATTAGACTCAACATGCCTAGTCTACAATTAGACGGTAAGCTGTGTCCAAATAGTTAAGAGAACAAGAAAATACTAAATTAACTAAGCATATATAAAAAAGGAGCTCTGGCGGTGTACTAGGTAAGGCATATGGATGCTAACCAGGTCAGTGGTTCATACCCACTAACTAGCTGCTCCAGAGGAGGAAGATAAGGTAATCTACTTCTGTAAAGACTTACAGCTTTGGAAACCCAATGAGGGTCACTATGAGTTGGAATCCACTGGATGGCAACGGCTTTGGTTTTGGTTTTATATGAAAAATGACAAATGAGTACTGTTTGTAACAAGTTCTGTAAGAGGAGTAGTAAGAACTAGGTAACAGTAAAAAGGGAAAGACAAGAGATTTGGTAAGGTATCTTAGAATTTTTAATGATAAAAATTATAGTTTACATTGTTTTAATTCAGTGGTTATCACGTTTGATTGGAGGTTTATAGAAACCTCAGGAGGGAGGGAAGGTCAATGCTCACCCCATTTTCTAGATGAAGCAACTGAGGTTTCAAGAATTAAGTAACCCAAGATCACACACAGGCCTGGAGGTGGCAGAACCAGAGGAAGAGCCTAATCAGTTTTCCCACTTTGTCCAGAATTCATTTCTACTACACTAAGTTCTAAATTGGCAATACTCAAGTGAGAATTCAGAAAGAGCTCAGAAATCTAATACAGCATTTCCCTAACTAATCTGATGAAAACCAAAAATCCTTTCTGGGGCAGGCACTGAAAACAGATTCTCAGGACCAACCGACCTACTGAATCATAACCTCCAGGAGAGAGATTCCCTATCTCTAACAAGAGCTCTAAGAGGTAATTCTTGTCTTTAGTTAAATTTGGGAAGCACTGTTCCATACACGCAATGTCCAATATGGCAACTACTAGCCTATTTCAACTGATTAATAAAATAAAAAAAATCCAGTTCCCCAGCTGCACTAGCTACATTTTAATTGCCCAATAGCCACACATGGCTAATACCATGCTAGACTACACCATCACTGCTGACAGCGCTACTGCACATTGCTGATTCTAGACCAACCCCTCGACTGTGAATGTGAGAACACCGAGGCACAGGATCTTGTCTACCAAGTGCCATGGAGTTAGTTAGGGGCAGAACTGCAACTCTCACCCAGTCTGCCAGTGCCCTTCTTACTTTGAAGTTTATTTAAATAAGAATTGTATTCGTTGCTCCCTTTGCAGCAAAGTAAGAAGAAAAAGTCTAAATCTGTGAGAAAAAAATCCTCAGAGTCTATTCAAGAATCATGATTAGCTCTAAAATTAATCTGTAATCTTAGCATAAAATCAAAAGTAGTCTTAGATAGCTAAGGATACCCCCGTGTTAGGAGACATAGCTTGTTTTAGTTACTTTAAGTATTTTATCTTCTCTTGATCTTATGTTTTCTTGTAGACCTAAAACCTTGAAACTAATGATAACAAATTGATTGGCATAACTTGAAATTAAAAAGTGAAAAGTCTTATAGTCTATCAAACATTTTAAATTGAGAAAGAGCAAGCAAAACAAAGAAGAGTGACTTGCCTAAGAATGTGGTCACTCACACCACTGGCTTTTAGTAGCTCAGTGGTTTAGTACTTATGACATTACTAATGTCGTTTTTCACTTCTAAATGACAGTTTGTCTTCTTTTCTTTTGACCATTATAATGTGGTTTAAAATAATGGAAAATAAATTGTTTTAATTTCCAACATAACTAAGGAACTAGAAGCAGCTGAACATCTCTGAAGGTTTCAGATACTAATCAGGTCAACAGTAACCAGCCATAAAAAAATTTCAGCAGTGCTTGCTTTGAAAACAAAACCAGTTGTTCCTGTCTAGGATGTGTAGAACGCAAATGTCTCCAAAGTCATCAACTTAAGTCATGACAGCTCATGTTTAAAGTAAGGAAAACAACTTGCAACTCCACACTAATTAAAACTTCAAAGATACAACCACACAGTTCTAATCCCCCCCCCATCTAGTATTCAATTCTATATAAAATTCTAGTGATTTTATTTAGAGGAAATACTGTATTTCCAAGGTCCTAGGTTGCATAAAATTAAAAATTGGGCAGTTAAAAATGATAGCCTAACATGATACTTAACAACAGACACTTACTCTGTTTTCTCCATAATCTGGGAGATGCCCAGAAGCCTTCAGTATGGGGTCCTATATAAATAGAAGCTACTTGTTATTCAGAGAAAGGAAATAGCGCAAAAAAAAAGACAGCTATTTTCTTTCTAAACATTCTTTGGTGTTGAGGTAAACAAAAACAACAAAATACAGTCCAAGCATACAAGAGCAAAGCAGCTGTCTCTTTAGAGGGGTAGGGCAATGTCCCTTCTCTACCATTTGAAACAGGGAGCTGAGAATTTAAAGCAGATACTTACTCTCTTTTAGACCCAATATCACTTCTACATAATGCCTGTTACATTTAGCTTCCACTTCACGATATGAGGAAGAGAAAACACTTGCCCCAAGATTCTTTAGGCCAATACTACTACTTTTAGAGGTAGCATAGCTCACTGAATGAAAGAGAACATCAGAAAATGGCCAGTGCCAATAGTTTAAATTAAACTACTGGGAAACAATGATCTCAACTACCAGGAGATAAATAGTAGTCACAGTCCTGTAAGAAATGCTTAAAATATTGCAAACTATGGTTGAATAAACTCAAAAGCAAGGGATGGATGGAAGCAAACATTGAAGTGGTATAAATTCCAGATCTCATAAAAGACAGAGGTTTTTTTTCATTTTTTAAAAGTATTCTGGAGGAGGGGTCCTTGGAAGGAAGGCCAGCTTGCAAGGAACAAAACCACACAAGTTAAGGGTGGAGGGAGAGAAGGCGCAGGTTTTCTGATCACTCCTCTACCAGGAGATGCTTTTGACAACTTCACTACTATTCCTATAAACAATTTTAAGCTTCCTTACGGAAAGTGATTTAAGCAACAAGCAAGTGGGCTTTGAGACAGAACTACAAAAATGCTAAAATTTCTAACTTTATAAAAGATGCACAGTGAAAAAAAAAAACAAAAAAACACAGCCATGACATTGTCAGGTGTAATTCTCTAGCTGGGAAAATGTCAATTATGCTCAGACATGTACATCAGGACCCTTGAAAGTGACCCAGCAAAGTTTCTGGCTGGCGCTCACTTATCTCGCAAACCCTCCTTCCCCACTTCCCTGCTGTTCTTTCCTGGCACACAAAATATAGGCCAAAGAGCGGTGGGTGGGTGGGTGGGTGGGAGAGGAGGATGTGAGAGAAAATTTGAGAAGTAAAAAATGGAGCAACTTCACAAGGACATGAATGAGACTGAAGAGTCTAATAAGGTCAGGCAAACAAGAACTACTGGAAAACGAAACGGGCTTTCCCCGGTAGTTGTCAATGCTGTTTGTAAAGGTTTAAACAGAGGTCGGACTACCTACCACTTGTCAGAGAGGCTGCAGAGGGGACGGCTGCTTTGGGTGACCTCTAATGTCTCTTCCGACTCTGAAATGTTAGGATTCTTATTTCACAAAAAAAGAACGCAATGGTCATAGAAGCCCACCGATTTGGAACCCTTTTAGCTGAGCGGTCTCAAACACCACTCCCACCTCTCCCTCCCACACGTGCCCACCCCGCCCCCTTTCAATATTTCCACCTCCACGTGCGAAATGGCCAGCGGCACTGACCCCAGAACAGGTAAGTTCCTTCCCTAGCAAAGCACTACAACTATGCCGTCTCTGAGGTAAGTGAGGTCTCCACTCTCCACCCTGGGCGGCTAAAAAATGATGAAAGTCCCCAATCTAGCCTTCCCTCACCCCGGTCAGAGTAAGAGGGAGAGCCGGACACAGAGAAAAACTTTCTTCAATTTTTCTTCCAAAGAGTGGAGAAAATAGAGAGAATGCCAGCGAAGCCAAGGAGGAAGGGGGAGGGGAGCCCCTGAATCGTTTAACGGCCGGTAGGGGGAGGGAGGCTCCGGAGATTGAGGGGGCGTGAGACAGAGAAGCAGGCCTGGGAGCTGAGGTCAGGGAGCTGCAGCCGTCCCCCCCACCTTGCACACAAAGCAGCTGCCGCACTCGGCTCTCACCAGATCCTTTGTGTTTTCCATCAGGGCCTCATGGGTAGGGGTTGTCCGTGCTCCCCGGGCCCGCGGCGCCCCCTCCCCGCGCTGGGGGCAGGCGCCTTTACCCCGGACTGCAGCGACTACAGGGGCCCCCGGCTGGGCCCAGACCGGTGGCTGCTGCGGCAACCCCCGGATTTCCCCCCTTTAACTCGGGTGGCCCCAGGATATCAACAACATTAGCATAGCCCTCCCTCCCAAGCGCGCCTGCGCCGTGACCCGCACCCCGATTGGCCCACTTCCCTACATACCCTCCTTTCTCTCTTCCAGCGTGGGACCCTCTGCAGGCTCCGTACGCTAAGGGCCGTACCAAGACGAAGGGGTGGAACAAGAAACCTGGGCTACGGTTCAGCCAAGTGCTTAAAAAGTCAGGAGGAAGAGTAAAAGTTTCATTCGATCATCCCAGTTCATATTCTAGCTTTCTTGCACTCCTTTCAATGTGTTGCAGCTGCGAAGTTGTGTTGGAAAAATTTTCCACTCTTGTCACTCCGCTTCCCCCTACACCCGGAAGATTGGCCCTCCCAGAGGAACTCCCACAGGGGGAGGGGCACGCGAGGGGAGTGGGCGTTACGTAGGGAGGGAGTGTTGGGTCACGTGCTAGGAGGCTGCGCAGGCTCCTTTCGGCCTCCCCCCGGGTCTCAGTGGCGGCGGAAAGCGGTGTCCTGGCGCATGCGCAGTGAGGTTCCACGTGAGCGCTTGCGTTTCTTCTCAAACCCAACGATGCCGCCGGAGCGAAGGAACCGAATGAAACCGGATCCGAGTAGCAGAGGGAAGCAACATCGTAAAGCCCTAATGAAGCCGGACAGGAGAACCGAAGCAAGGCCGGATGGACCGGCCCCAAAGGCTGTTCCTTCATCCCAGCGGAAACCGCCGGCCCCGCCGAATGCGGCGACCACTACAATTGCAGTCGCGGTGGAGGAGGAGAGGCAGCTCCGGCAACAGAACCGTCTGGCGCTGGAGGAGGACAAACCATCCGTAGAGCGGTGCTTGGAGGAGCTCCTTTTCGGCGACGTTGAGGACGACGAGGACGCGCTGCTGCGGCGTCTTCGGGGCCCGCGGGTGAGGGAGGCCGCAGCGCGCGGACTGGGCGCTCGCGGGCGGGGCGCGCGGAGGGCGGTGAAGCTCGGGGGGGCGGAGCCTGGGCGACCTGCGGCGGCGGGAGCGCACACAGGTGGGAGGGAGCCGCAGAACGCAGACGCCGAAGGGCTCCTCTTTGCGTACCCCGCCACCGGGCTCTGAATTGCGTCTTGGGAGAGCAGAGACCTCGCCTTTCTCCGATCTAGTGGTACCCTATGCTCTGGTAAACAGCAAGCGCTCAACCTGTATTTGATTGTCCTGAGCAACTTCTCAGGATCCTTGGTGGCACAGTGGCTAAGTGCCCGACTGCTAACCAAAAGGTCGGCTGTTCGAACCCGCCAGCCACTTTGCAGGAGACAGATGTGTTAGCTTCCATAAAGGAAATCATATGGAGCAGTTCTACTTTGTCCAGTATGGTTGCTATGAGTCGGAATCCACTCAAGGGCAGTGGGTTTTAGCTTTGAGCAGCTTTTGGGGCCAAACTTAAAGTCTCCTTTCCCAAAACTCACTGTTTCACCAGCTTGATAGGTCGGTCACTTACCTCAGTCCCCTGCCCAGCTTGTTAATATGGACTGCAGAGTTCCATTGTATTTGTGAAATCAGAATTCGTGGGCACAGGCTTGGGAATCTGTATTTTAACCACCTCCCTGGGTGATTTTTTGCACGCCAGCTTTTGGGAAGAGTATTGATTTATTCAACATGTATTTGTGAGCCTGTTGGGTGGAGGTGCTCTTTGTTAACGGCAGTCTTTTGTGATTGATTATAATTTCATGCACTTTGAAAAAAATCACTTTATATCTGGCTTTTACCTCCAGCCATTGTTCTGGGCGCTGGAGGAGACAGCAATGAAGAACACTGTCAAAAATCCTTGTCCTCTTGTAGCATAAAGGTGCTCTGGTGGCCTAGTGGATTAGGCTATTGGTTGCTAACCAGAGGGTCAGTGGTTCAAACCCCCAGCTTCTCTGCCTGCCAGAGGAAGATGAAGCAGTATACTTCCAGAAAGATTTACAGCCTTGGGAACCTAATGGGGGTCGCTAAGAGTGAGAATCTGGTGGGCTTTCTTGTAGCTTCCATACTAATGGTAGAGAAAAGATAAAGGAGATTAAATAAACTTCAAGTATGTTAATGACCAAAGAGATTAGTTTTGTAAAAAGAGGGTAAGTGCTATGCAGAAGACTTGTGAAATTTTACATAGAGTGGCCAAGAAATTACTTAGTAGGAATTTATTAAATGAATACTGATCCAGCAAGTATCAAATACTAACTCCCAGAACCACTTTTGGTGCTATGGGAGAAGCCACTGAAACCTAATTGGGGGTTAGAGCACTGATAGTGGAAAAATGCTGAACAGTGTGACAGTTCTATAGGGAGGAAAGAACGTTCTGTGTAGGAGGTGGGATTTGTTGGGCTTTGAAGGATGATAGGCCATTGATTACGTGGTTTGGGGAAAGTTCAAGCTCACTTCGGAGGATATTCGTGATCTAGATGTAGACTTGGTGGTGTAAAGTTTCTTATGGAGGTAGTGTGAAAAAGGGTCAAGAGAAATGGAGCTGTATTTCTAATACATCTGCTCTGTCTCTGGTGCTGTTATTTCTGTAGTTCTGGAATTCTTCCTGCTCTTCATCTGCCAACTTACCTTTTGTTTGACTTGAACTTCCTTTCAGCATTTGACTTTCTCTCTTTGACTGTTCCATCTTGCTTTGTCTGTCCAGGCTGTGGTGCCATTTGCTCATCTCCTCATTTTCTGCTTCTGCCTCTAGCACTTAATGTGGTAACATTGCATC